AAAAACTTTTTGAAAGCCTCCTTTTAAACCTAAATAGCTGAATGAAGAGTCCGTTAGACACTGACTTTGAGGCTCATGGATACTTTTTTAACTACATCAGGCATTTAAACATTTTAGTCAGCAGAGCATCACACAATGCATTATAAAATACTCTCCATCTTTTTTATAATGCATTGTGTGATGCTTTGTTCATTAAGGGTCTGATCCTCCATGGTGGTGAGTGCATACTGCATGCTAGAGCATGCTTGGTCCTTAGTCCAGGATTTCACAGAATGGAGATGCTAAAATCCAGATAATTAAGCTCTCTCAGAATTTGGTTTAAATGAGCAAAAGAGATTAGATGCCAGTTATGTGTGTGTGTACCATCCATTATCATTGCAGTGGCCAGAACCTGTTTGCTGTGCTACGCTCCCTAGCTATATGCCCATGAAAGGCTAATCAAAATGCCCAATTAAATTAAACTGCTCTTTCAGTACTCTTTCCCTCTTTACATAGCCTACTACAGTTAGGTTGCTGTTAGGAATTTGAAATCTGAATCTGCTGTGTAGTTGGAACCACTCAGAGCTGTGAAAGTCTTTTCTGGATGTCAGAAAAAGGATAGTAGTGGGTGGGGTGGGTGTCTTGTTTTGAGTCAACTTCTTACATAACTCTGCTAATGAATCGAAAGCCAGCATTTCACTGCACTGATGGGGTCTCTGAGTCCTCCTGAGGATTCCAGTTGACCAGACATCAGTACCAATATTGATGGATCACTGCAGTTTGAGATAAAATGGCTAGTTCTGTGACATCTACTGCAGGATACAGCTTCCTGAAGCCTATAGGGTGCTCCTAGTTCTGCTGGTATCTTCACTCTGATCTCTGGGCCAGAAAGTTTTAATTCACAACCCATGTCAATGCCTGGGGGTGGGGGTTCCACTATCTTGTGCTAACACTGCAATGCAGTTTTGAGGCTGTGGGGGCTGCATTGGTAAGAGATGCTGCCATGACAGTCAGTCATTCAAATAGGGTCCTCTCTGCCTATGGATGTGGTTATCCAGGTGGGAAAGAAAGATCTCATGGTACTTTGGTTATGGCACTGGGCGTCTTTTCAAATTCCCTCACTCAATCAAAACAAGTTCTCCTGTCCATGCTACTGCTGTCATTGAGAACATAATGGCTGCTGTGGATTCCTGTAGTTACTGCATGACCAGCAGCAACACTGGGCCAAATTCTTAGTTGGTGTAAATAGGTATAAGCTCCAGTGAAGTCAATGGAACTATATCAATTTACACTAGGAGAGAATCGGATGCAATATTGAGTTGTACGCACACAGGAGTACAAGCAATATAGAAAGATCACAATCATAATCACGAAGTTATATTCACTATCAAATACATACTAGAAATACTAGATAATCCAATCCAGTAGCTCTCAATAAAGAATGCAGTTCTGGCATGCCCAAAACATCTGGCCTCATGCATCAGTCACAAAACACCCAAGGCATTGACCTTTACAGATGAAAAGACCAGATCTAATACCTGGTACAGGAGCTGTACACACCCTGTCATGTGTTATTCCTATCTGAATGCATGCCTGTTCTTAGTGCACAATGCTTCACTATCACTATAGTGTACCTATTTAAAATACAAAACTTCTTATTGGTGTGTCATTTCCCAATGGTAAATTTTCTATATCATATACATTTCTTCTTCCTTTTTGTAGCAGGGGCAGGGAAGGTATGAACCTGTAACTATGCACACAAGCTACAAACAAAGGTTAAAAAGTAACAGTGCAACTTGACAGCTTCAACTGAATGCTTATCAGTTCAACAGATGTCGTTTGCTGGCAAGGGTATGGGCCGGAAGATTAGATTTCATAGAGTGCATTACGAGAGCTGAAGTCTGAGTCATTGGGTGTGGTCCTGAGTGCATTTAAAAAGAAAAGAACCTGACAAGCTGCAGCGCCAGGGGCTTTTTGCTGCTGTTGCTTCTGCTTCAGTCTTTAATTGCATTCAGATATTTTTGTTTTGTCAGGTTCCCTCTTCTTAGGAGTTATTTTCCATTAGAAAAAAGAAAAAAAATCATAGCTATTTGTGAGTAGAATCCTGGCAAAAAACAAATGTAATGATTGAGATAAGAGTAACTCATTACAATTCTTGTTTTGGTTTGTGTGTTCACTGAAGTAATGCAAAGATAACGAATATATGAATTCAGCTAATTAAAACAGCTGATTTGCTTGATTTTTGGATATTTAAGAAGTTACATTTTTATAAGCATTAAAGCAGAGCTATGTTTGAATGGCTGTGACTGGTGAATTGTAGAATAAATAAGCATTAAGCAGTGCTCTTTTGGAATGGTACAGCCTGATGCATTGGGTACCTGTAGGAATAATGAACATTAAAGCAAGATTATATTAGAATAGAAGTTGGTGCACTGGGCACATACTAGGACCTCATTTATTATTGTGGGTATTTATGCAATGCAGACCTGTTCTGCTCACTGCTGTTTGCTGTTACATGATTATAGAGAGTATTACAACCACAGTGCAATATTCTCTGGTTTTCAAATACTGATATATCATGCATAGTATGGTTAATCCATTCTGCTATACTAATCAAAAAGGTATTCTCCTCTACATGACTGTACA